GGGAAGCCAGCTCTGTGCTGACAGCAGGGAGAACCCCATCAGGGGCTGGAACTCACTAACCTGAGAGCATGACCTGAGCACAAGTCGGAGGCTTAACCCACTGAGCCACCCAGGTGGCCCTGGACACAAATTTTAGCTTTATATATTGAAAGTGCCCTAAGTATATCCTTTACTAGGCTAGAAATACTCTATAGATACCGGGAATACAGTGAAAAAAGACAAAAAGGTCTACTCTCAATTTACATGGATATTTTGAACATCACAAACCACAAAACATATTCCTGAATCTGTCTGGTTTCTTGGAGAGTGTAAAGAATTCATGACGTTTTTATGTGTAGTAGAAAGTTCCATAATACCGATTAATGACATAAAGTAATAATCACGTTATTCCAGTAATATTAATCCAGAATTGTAGTAAAAAGGCATACTTACTGTATAATTAGAAGAATAACCTGATGGATAAAATTCAGGAGCGTTCACAGACAGCTTAGACATTAATACAGGAGCTACAACCACCTGGGGTTTAGCCATTGCTGACTCCAAGTTCTGCTGTGGGATATTATCCTGTGAACTAGGTGGAGCTCTCAGGGGCCTCGTTTGCTCTGAGAAAGGAAAAACGGGGTGTTAGATGCGTTCATTCCTTTGTATAGCAACTTACTATCTGCTGAAAAGCCACAGGAGAAGGACTGGTTTTTAAGAGTTAAACAAGAACTGTCACGAATATTAAGGTTATCGCCAGGATATATACAGAAAGCCTGCAAAAAGGAACAATAGGCTGCTTTAGCTCATTTATGGCCATACCTGCCTCCTAAATGAATGCTCGAGAGCTTTCTTTTTCCTTTTTTCGTTTTTAAGGAGTTAAAAGAGGTGGTTGCACGCTTAAGGTCTCCCTTTCCAAGGCTGGGAAGGGGGAGGCGATTTTTACTTCCTCCCCGGACGGCAGAACTCAGAGACCGCGCATTGGGCCCCTCCCCCCAGCCGGGGCGCACAAAGGATTCCGGCAGCCACCTTCCAAACCCCGTTCCGGGCCCGTCCCCACCCCGGAGCAACCGGGCCCCTCGGGGAACGCTTTCGGGGAACGGGGGGGTTGGGGGGGGGGTAGAAGGAAAAAGAGCGCCGGCCTTGCCG